TTTATTCATTTAAATTAATAATAGTACTGAATAGGGAATAGGGGGTGTAATGTCACATTGGGTGCTCTGTAGCACAAATGTAGTTAGAAATCTTTATATAAAAAATTTTCTAAAACCATATCTTCTGGTTATTAGCTAGTTCTGAGTTAAAGGAATTCGGCAGCCTAGTTAAATAACTTATCTGCCCCCTTACTCAAGTCTTTTTGATAACAAGAAGACTATTAATCTTTTGATTAATTTAGGTTTATTGTAATAAAATTTCTACTATGACATTATATTTAATAAAAAAAAAAAAAGACTATAGGCTATAATTACTTTAGCTAGTCAAAAGGTATATAGTTCAGTTATTAAGTTAACTCTAGAAGCAGGAATACCAATTCTGTAGCAAGCATCTTGCAAATATTTAATATTGATTCTATCAAAGGCTTTAGACATATTTTAAAACAATATATATCTATATTTTTATATTATAGGAAATATAGTATTTGATAGTATTATATAAGATTTAAATTGGGGTATGTGTTAAAGAATTTTTGGAAGCTGTAAAGTTTAGATTAGAGAGAAGATTATTTGATGAGATTATTTTGTCTAAATAGTTGATGAAAATTTTTGTAAAGATTTTTTTAATAGATTCAATAATAGAAATAGGTTGGATTTGATTAAGTATAAAATTCCAGTTTGATTTTTTTAGAATAAGGAAAATATTTAAAGATTTCTATTCTGTTAAGGTTTTTTGTAATTGAAAATATTTGTTAATAAAGGATTTGAGGATGTTTTGTACTAAAGAACCTGTATATTTGATATATTCATAGCAGATTTCTGAAGGGTCTGCTGCCTTTTAATTTAAAAGATTAGAGATTACTTTAGAATATTTTTGGTCTGTGATTGTTTCAAATAAGTTGTTATAGTTTGATTCAAGTTTTGAATATGATGATAAAGTTGGCTGAAGCTAGAAAAAATTGAATATAGAGATTTTTCTAAGAAATAATCTAAAAAGTGATTATAGATTTGGTTTAAAATTTTATTAAGTAAGAAATTATTGAGTAGAAGATAGTTAATATTAATATTGTTGTATTTCTCAAGTATGTTTTTGTAAAAAAATTTAGATATTTCGTTAAAGGTTTTGTTATAGTTTTCTATTTTTTGTTTAATTTCATTGTAAAAATTTTGTTAGTATTGATAGTTGAGAGTGAATTTGACAAGGTAAAATTTATTTTTAATTTGAATATGGGTTGGATGTTTGGTTTGTAGTAAGTTTTTGGAATATTGGGTTAGATATTGGTCAAGTAGACTAAAAAAGTTAAAAGAGTAAAAGTGGTTTTTAAGGAATTGTATTTGTTTGTATTTGTAAAAAAATAGTAGTTTTTTTGAAAATAAGAAGTTTTGAATTTCTTTAATTTGTTTAATTTTTTTTTAAAAGGAATGTATTTGTTAGCTATCTTGATCAAGGCTTTGTATATCTGGTTTTATATAAAGTTAAGTTGATTTTGATTTGAAATTGAATAGATTTTTAGAATAATATGTTGGAGGTTATATAAAGTTTGGAAGCCATAGTTATAGAGAATATATTTATTTAATTTCTCCAATAATATAAGTAAATAATATAATATCTAGAATTAAAAACACTAATAACTTTAGATAAGGCTTTATTTTTTGAATTCAGCTTTTTGTTAAATAAGTCATTTATTCTTCTACTTGGTTCAAATTAGAGACACTAATAACTTTGAGTAAGGCTTTACTTTTTGAATTTAGCTTTTTTGTTGAATAAATCATTCATTCTTTTACTTGGTTTAAATTAAAAGTACTAATAATTTTAGATAAGGCTTTATTTTTTGAATTTAGCTTTTTTGTTAAATAAGTTATTTATTTTTCTACTTAGTTTAAATTAAGAACACTAATAATTTCAAATAAGGCTTTATTTTTTAAATTCAGCTTTTTTTTGTTATTGAATAAGTTATTTATTCTTCTACTTGGTTCAAATTAAGGTATCAATAGCTTTATTTTTTGAATTTAAATTTTCTTTTTTTTTTGAACAAGTCATTTATTCTTCTATTTGGTTTAAATTAGAAGTACCAGTAACTTTGAGTTAGGCTTGATTTCTTGAATTTAGCTTTTTTTTTTCTTAAATAAATTATTTATTTTTCTATTTGATTAGAATTAGAGATACTAATAACTTAAAATAAGGTTTTATTTCTTGAATTTAGCTTTTTTTTGATTTGGTTTAAATTAGAATATTATTAGCTTTAACTAGCTTTTAGAACCTGGTGTTGCTTGGGTTCAAGGTTTTTATTTTTTCTTTGTTTTAGGTTTTTAAATATTATAATTTTTTTAATTTTTAATTTAATTTTTTTTTAAATTTTTTTTTTAATTTTGGGTTTATTTAATATGTGCACCTCTTTATGTTTTTTAAAATCTTACTATTGTATTCTCAAAATTTTACTAAGATAACCCCAGTTGTATTCTTAACAAAAAATGGTTCTCTTGAAAAGTTACCTTAGATTTTAATTTTAAATTAATCCTAATCCTAACCCTAACCTAACTCTAACCTCTAACCTTCAAATTCTAATCTAACCCTAACCCGAATCCGAATTATTGTTTATATTTGTTACTATAGGGTCACAGCTGTGTTAGGGTGCACAAAATTAATAAATCTATATGTTTAAACTGTCAATTTGTAAAAGTTTTGAATTATTTTTCATAAAAAAAATTCGATAAAAATTTTTTTACTTGAATTCTGTAAGTTTATAAAATTAAAATAAAAATATATATTGGAATTGAATAGACGGTTGCTAAAGAATTATATTGAATAAATTATTTTATGCTTTTTGGTAATATTATTACAAATTTGCTCCATTAGATAAAACATTATTTTTAAAATAATCGAGATTAAATTAAACCTTGCTTTAACATATTAAAGATAAGACCAACCTCAACTTTAATATATGTCAATAGCGCCATATAGCTAGTAATTGCAGCTCGGAAAATATCTTATACAGTTATTTTCAAAGTTGATTAACTAATAGTAAATCTCTCTACTTTGGATGAATTGAATCAAAATGTTTTTTTTCAGTAATGGTAAATCATGCGACTAGTAACCCACCAGTCTTCCTATGTATTTCCAAATCACAAGTTCATATGAGCAAATAAACTTTATAACTTTTATAACAGAAAAATTAATATAAATTTTAATAGATAATATATATATTATTTTCTTATGCTTCAACAATTTCTTTTATTTAAAAATATATAAAATTTAGCTCATAACAACCATGTATTCCACCCATGTATAGAAAAAAATCAATAATAATCTAAATTATGGTTAGCATTTTCCTACTTTCGATCATGGTAGCTGATGAATTGATTTTCTTCATCGTCCAAGTCTGCCAACAAATCGTCAATACTTAATTCATTATCTTCAATAGATGTACTTGCTACCGCGGTCTTATCAACTTTTGATCTTCCACTTGTTGAAGTAGGAGTACGATTTACAGGATTCCCAGGTGTAGCAGTTAATGTATTGCTTGAATCGGTCGCCCGAGTGGTAGCAGTGTCGGATTCATTGTTTCTTCCTTTCATAAGATTAAATAACATTTGTCGATCTTGTTCCGTAGGATTAAAGTTCGTATCATAATATGACAAAAAATCATTCTCTACTTCATCATCAAAATCAATTTCATCATGGTTCTCAGGATCATATCCTAACTGTGATGTAAGTGATGTAAGATAATCAACATTTGATTCCACTGCATTTATTCGAGTTTCAAGTTCATGAAGACTTTCTTTGTGATTTGTGTGTAAATTCTGTAAATTTGATGATGTAGGAGAGACAGTTACTGCTTGTTGTTGAATAGAAGGCGCCGCCGTTGGTAATTTATAATGGGATGCCGTAGTGGTTGGCGTAGTATCAGTTAATGTATTAGTGGGAATAGATGATTCTGTATTATTTATGAGAGAAGAATTATTATCAGGAGCAGTGGATGATGGATCATTTGACGGTGTGATTTGATCAGGCTGAAGTAATGAGGAAAGATCTGCTGCATCCAAAAAATCAGCTGGATTGTTTATTTCATTTGATGGTAATGACGATGCTGCTGGTAAAGCGTTGTAAATATCGAATTGCGACAAATTGTTTAGTGTTGACGGATTATTTACTGCAAGTGATGCCAATACTGACAATGAGGCTAAAATTTAAATAATTTTTGGATTTTTTTCAGTAAAAAAAAAAAAATAGAATCAAACTTGTATATGTATACTTATATAGAATACCTGGATTGTTGATATCCAGAATTAAATGAGCTATATCATTTTCGGTATTTGGTGAATTGGATGAAGCACCTTGCCCACTATCATTGCCTAATGCCCAATTTCCCGTCCCCACCATTTCCTGATTTTCATAATTCGTATCAGAATTTCCAATTAATAATCTTCGTTTTTTTGGTACGATTGCTCTCTTTTTATCAGACGAAAACACCGATGCAAGAAAACGTAGAATTTTATCAA